GCGAGGTGTGTTAAGAATCGACATCTCGACTTTGTATATTAGCTTCGTATATTTCATCTATCTGGGTTCTGGGTTCTTAGAGGGAGAGCTGTAAGCAAGTCTTCCAAGATAACAAGAAGCAAAATAAAAGCTCCTTGTACTTCAGCCGAGGAAACTTCAAAATATCACTTTCACCACGTACCACTCATCAAATAAATGCTAGGGCCAACCCAGATTCCAAGGAAAAGAAGTTACATGTCTTGGCAGGGGACAGAGAAACCATACTGTAAAGTCCACTTAGGTAGGACATACATTTGTGGAAATGTTCGGAAAACAGCCTGCCACTCTGGGGTAGCCTGTTGGAAAGCAGAGACGAGCAGGGAGTAGGGTGGAAATGCCAGGGAAATGACAGTTTCTACCAGCCGTTCTCCCGCGGGGTTTCCCAGTCCCACATATTTTCTGCCCTGCTTTCTGATTACACACAGGAAGCCTCAGATACAAATTTACTGTAGTAGCGGCATGCAGTCACATACTGGATTCCCAATTTTAAAAAAGTCAAAAAACATGAGAAAAGGTTTTTGCTGAAATATAGTCTTGTCTTTAAAATAATATGTCCAGGTAAAAAAAATCAAAATAAAAGTGTCTTATTTCTCTTTTACTTTTTGATAAATGATATTTTCCCTATTAAATCAACTTAAGAAATAATTCTAAAATTGTCACTTTTATCAATAGACCAGAAATTGATGGTTTTACAGACGATTTAAGGAAAATCAATTCCAAACTATATAATGTATATAGAAAAGCAAGCTTATAGAAAGTTTCCTCTAAAAACATTTCATACATTTTATTACAATATATTATATTGTACACACTTAGGGCTTTTAGCTGCTTTTGTTAAGACTCTCAAAGTGATTTATCATAAGCATAAAAGAAAATTTTAAAAACTGAATTTAGAAGCGTGAGAGATATCTAAGCAAGGTCACAAATCTGAGTTGGAAGCAAAGACTTACAAAGGAAGAAGCCATCTCAGTGCCCACTATTAAAGTCAACCAATAAAGGAAACGATGAAATCGAGGTGAAGTGAAAAGCATGTTTTTGGAACTACAGATCCTACTTATTCCATGTGTCAAAGAATAAAAAATTTTTATAAAAGAAAAAAAGTATTTCCCAAGGAAGTATTCAGTTTTTTAAAAATTATATATGCCTCGCAATCAACTATTTCTTGTATTTGAAAACTCATTGCATGCTTTCTCTGATACTCAGAAAACGTAAAAGTTCAAGAAAATAAAAAATTATATATATATATATATATATATATATATAGAGAGAGAGAGAGATGGATATGTCCACGCATATTTATCTGTCTGTATACACACAAGCATATACACATGTATGTTAGAGAACTTTTCTTAATAATACACCCATCTGAGAGACAATTCCTAAACAAGACCCATGAGTCACAGTTGCTCAGCTGAAACAGTCAAATGTGAGTTGTGACTAAAATATATGATGCATATTTAAGTTTTTAAAATATGCAGTAAAGCACACATTGCCATAACCCCTCAAAGTATTCGCCCTTGCTTTGAATACACTCCTCCCTCTTCCCCGCATCAGTTCTGGAAGTCCTCTTTCTTGGATGTCTTTGACGAGTGACCAGCAACAACACTGCTGCTGGGAGGGGCCATCCAGTGGCAGGCAGCTCATAAACACCCAACGCTGGGTCCCGTCCACCCTTTTCACCACGCCCAGGACCAGGGTGAGTTCCCGCTCATCCTCAGTCCAGAGAGCCACGCAAGGCAAACGTTTCCAATACATTCAATACATTCAGGCAGCCACAACAGCAAAGCTAAACTCACAGAAGAGCACGGTCAGAATGGCTCCTGCAGGTGCTAAGAAGGAAGAGAGGTGTGTGTCTGAAGTGAGCAGGAATATTTTGAGGGGATTAATGGCAATTTGTCATTTACTATAGTAACTATTTTTTTTTAATTTAAACATTCAGTGTGTTTTTTGGTGATACCACACAGTCTCTCCTGTGTCGTGACTTCAGTTGCTCTTTTATTGTTCTCTGAGTTTCAAGTGGAAAAATATTAATATTGAAAACCCTTTAATGCCAGCACTTGGGAAGCTGAGGCAAGAGGATTGCCACGAGTTTGAGGGCAGCCTGGGCTACCTAGTGAGACCTTGTCTCAAGAAAAAAGAAAAAGTGTCAAATGATGTAAGCCATGTACCCTGAAAACTAAATATTGCACAATAGTTCACCAGGTACTTCTAGAAAGGAAACTGCTCTACTATGTCATTTGTGTGTAATTCAATCCATACTCCATCCCTAAACCAATTACTAAAGTCCCTTTTAAAATAGGTTGTCTTCTAGGAAATAACTGACCTTAACCTTAAGTGTTCATAAATTTGCATTTGATTAGAGATTTTTTTCTTTCTCTATTTGTACAAATAGTGAATATTCTTTTTTAAAAGATATTCACTCATCCTCCAACACCCAGATGGCTGGGATCTGTACAGCTACACCATGAGCAGATTATGCATGGAAGTTTACATTCCAGCCTAACAAACAGGAAATGATACTGCACTGGGAAGAACTACTGTGGCTGGGGAACTAGAGGGCTGTGAGAGCTGGAGCTATACCAGCCACCCTGAGTCCGACAGGGCCAGGACTGGAGAATGGAGTGCTGGTGTTCTGGAAGAAGCAGTTTATCCTGCAGGATGAATGGGATTTAGTAAGTGAAAAGGAGTCGTAGCTACACTCCAGAGAGAGAGGAAACACCAAAAACTCAGAGGACAGCGGAGATAAATAAAGTCCTAACAGGGTTAAATTTGGCTCCTCTGTGGGTTAGGAACAGGAAGGATGGATGGGGGTGCTAACAGTTCCACTGTCTTAAATATCTTGACATTTTCTAACGAGACATGAAGCGTAACCCACCGGCTTACAGAAGAAAACGAGGTGATGAGATATCTCTGCATCTCAGGAAGTCGCCTGGGTTACAGAGTAGAGAAGAGACTGAAGAGATCAGGACAAGAGGCCAGAAAGCCACCCGACTCCAGGTGACGGCAAACTGACCCATGGAAGTGTTGAGGAAGTGAACAAATGTGGAGAATTTTCAAACTTCAGGAAACACTGAAGATTTGGCGATTGCTTAGAAAACAGGGTGAAGAAAAAGAATAAGCCCTTATACTTGTTAAAAATGGGGCCCAATTCATGTTACTTTTTATGAAGACTGAATTTCACCACAAAGAATGCTTTGTTAGTGTATATGACACAAATATCAATGTCAGCATGTGACTTAGGGTCTCAAAACAATTTATGAAAATCAACTGTTTAATTGTGTAGTCCATTATACAGAAAAAAGTTCGCTTAATTTCTAGGTAATCAGTCTAATTGTAATAAAAATAGCTACTTACAAGAAAAGTAGTATTAAGCATATTCAATGTACCATTAAGAGAAACAACTTCAAAATCATAAAAGAAGGAACATATCAAAAGTGGATAATATTAATGAGCATGTTATGGTATTCTAACTATCTGGCTTCTTTGCATTCTTACACATAGGGAAGCATAAAATTGTGTGTTATTTAGAAGTATGTTAACCCAATTTTAATATTTACAAACTACTTCATCTGCGCTTTGCGCACTGTCTGTGGAGCCTGGTCTGTGTTTTGCTCCTTCCACACGTCTCAAGTGCAGAGCAGCCACGTGGCTAGCAGCACTGTAAGGCAGAGAAGTGCGTCCCTAGGGCCCTGTGGCCTAACAAGGCCAGTGGTGGCGGTCAGGATGCGCAGAGGTGAGGAGGAGAATGCGCAGACCCTCCGGAACCTCTCCTGCTGTGCAGCCAAGGCCACGCAGCCAGAACTTAGTTCAGCTGGAGCCAATGAAAGCTGACCTGTCACCCACGACACTGCTCAACACAACACTGAAAAATAAAACGCGAATTACAATGTCTCAAATCCCCAAACAGTTTTAAGTATCAAGCTTCAGTCCACTTGAAACAATCCATTTAAGTTCGCCCGTTCAATTTTAATTTAAAGATCTCCCGGCAGCTACTTCACAGGCAGCGGCCGCTCTGTTCCCCGACACCGGTAGGTTAGTAACTGCACACCGGTTTCCATCTTGATTCAGAGCTGTTTTAAGTTTACAAGAAAAATGTCCCTGTGTAAACAACAGACATTTTGATTAAACACTAAAGTTCTTATTTTGGCTGTTAAATCAATAATGCAGCTGGCCTGAAAGCGGTTTACATTCCCTCAGAACTGGGCTCCTCTCCAGCTGGTCCTGCTCTGAGGTCATTTTCCAGCAAGATCTGGCTGCTCACAGCAGACAGTGGAGACATATTCTTTGAAAACAACTACATAATTTTCAAAGGGAGCACATTGCAGCAGGAGGGTCTCACAGAAACCTGTGCTTATGACGGTACAGCAACAGGCTCTTGGCTCATGGGTTATTTACTAGCACAAATTATTCAGGCAACTTTTACTAGACAAAAACCTTTGGTGACATTCTCTCCTTCACCCGAGACTAACTGTGGAAACTCTTCTAGTTTTCTTTCCATAACAGATTCACCAACATATAATTCTGCAGCAATGGTGTTCAAGGTATTACGTGTGTGTGATGAACCGTGCCCGCCGCGCTCTGTCCTGGTTGACAGACTCCAGGTAAGAATTCCCAAATGCTGATGCACAGTGTTGTAATACGGAAAATAAGACCGCATGACATGACTGCAATGCACAACCACCACCACCAGCATAATGGTCCCTAAAGGTCTTGTAAAGTCGCTAAGAGAATATTAGTTTACAATTAACAAACCAGTGGCAACAGCTAGAAATAAAGAAAAATGCAAAGCAAAAGTCCTAAATTATATTCCAGATCACCTAATAAATATGATCCTCAGTTAATCAGAAAAAGGTCATCATGATTCTGCTTTAGCAGCGAAGTACTTAAGTCCAGCTGGAATCCTGGGCAAAAGTACCCCAGGACCACTGGGAACTTTTCATTTCAGGACCTCAGTCACTCACCTGGAGAAATTCTCTGACATTAGAGCCCAGGACGCGCAGGATGGTATCATAACCAGATTCTTGACAGAACACAAAAAACATCTTCCCAAACATTTGAAGGATTTCTCCTGCATTGAGGTCTGTTTTATAGGTTTGAGAAGAAATAAAAACCACATATTACAGGTGGAATTTCATTAATGAGAATGGATATTAGTGCACACTAAAATGATTTAAAATGCCCACAGTCTTCATGAAGAATGAACATAATCCTAAGACAAAAAAATTGTGTCTAGAACCCTACGCAATCTGAGAAAACAATGTATGATTGTTAAGGGAATATTATTAGCAAGGCAGTCATATTCTCAGTGTTTACAATGAACTACTTAATTTTGACTTTTTATGGCATACATTTAATGTATTTATTTAAAAAACAGAGACTTTGGGACCAGGGAGTTAGTTAGCAGCACAAGCATCTGCCTGGCAAGCACAAAGTTATGAGTTTGCTCTCTGGTATCAAAATTTTTTTAAAAAGACAAAAAAATAGAGATTTTTAAACTATCAAGAATACACATGGTAATATTTTGATGTAAAATAATTTCCTTCATATAAATAGGTATATTTATGAACCTGACTGCAAAAAATATGGACCTGACTGTCCTGTTCTTTTACTATCCAAATTCATATTTTCTAAACTTTAATTTCCCCATACTGTTTCTTTCACAGCTTTGTTAGCTTACTCTACTATGGATGCAGCAATTTACTACCTTTGTCTTACTGAAAATGTTGGCTTTTTATTCACTGATAGGTGACTCTAACACAAAAACACCTTCACACCAATCTTAGTGCAAAGGCCATCTAGTGTTTCTTTAGCAAACATTTCTGAAGAGTTTGAATGTATTTTTAGAAGATTCTGATTTTGCCAAATGTTTCACAGAAAGATGTCATCTTACTTCGTCATCAGACTGAAAATACATACCCTATCCCTGACTATACTAGATACGTCATCTTAAATACTTTGGAAATCTACAGTTTGAAAGCATATTTCATGTGTTTCCATTTGATTATGAATGGAGTCTCATACTTTATTGTTTACCAATGTTTTTAGTAATTCTTACACACTGCCAAGTGAGGCCAAAAGCTTCCTTCTGTTCCACACAAACTAGCCTCTCAACATCACTAAATTCTTTGTGGAAAAACAGATAATATTTGAGAACAAATTTTCTCTCTGACAGGACCTTATTTTGAATAGTGAGATTTCTCTGTGGAAGGTCTCAGTTCCCTTTCTCTTACCAATAGCCAACATAACTTGTGATTGAAAAAAAGATTTCAGGATAATGTTCTCTCCATACTGCACCTGGATAATTTCTACTCTGTGACACTGGAATTAAAGTGATCACATTGAGTAGCAACGTTTTTTCCTTTCTCCAATATATGGTTTTCCATGAAGAGAGACAGCCTGCCTCCTTTCCACTCTCTAAATACTTTGTAAAAGGAATAACAGGACTCTGAGCCTAACATTATATGAACACACACACACACACACTGACGTTTGTGCAGTACATGACTTACACAAGCACTTACTACAGTCTTGAAACAGACATTTCTTTGGGCTTCCATGTGACCCAGACAAAGACGGAAAGCTATGTCTCACTTACTGAGAACCTTGCTTGCAGCAGCCACCAAATCGTAAGTCTTGGAATCATCGTATATTATTCTGACAAGGAACTGTCCTTCTTCATCTAACTGGGCCTCTTTTCTGGAATACAGGAGGGAGAGTGACGGGATGAGACAGCAGCAACCTCAGCTGTGATGATTACAAACACAATGCATTTTCTCCTGAAACAAGATTTTGGCAAACCTGTTTAAACTAATGTCACGTACTTAAAAGCCTACTGATTAAGCCAAAATGATGTCACATACTTCACACTGAATTAAAATAATACATTTAATTCACTTTAATACATCTGATATTTACATAGGACTCCAGTGCCAACACAACACCCAACATTATACCCAGTCAATAACCTTTTTACAAAGCTAGGTGTGATGGCACACCTGTAGTGCCAGCTACTTGGGAGGTTAAGGCAGAAAGATCACTCAAGTCCAGGACTTCAAGGCCAGCCTGGACAACATACCAAGGCCTTACTTGCTAAAAAAGAAGTAACTTTTGACTTAATAAATATTCAGCAAACATTTGTTGAGTTCGTTTATGCACCAACCAGTGTTCTAGGGACATGATCTTTAGAAAACAGACAGAGTGCCTGATCTCTTTGGACACATACACATACTCTAGGAGAGGCAGAGGCACACCAGGTCCGAGAATATCAGATCACTTAACCAATAAATGTAAAGAGAAAAATGAGGCAAGGTAGAGGGACAGGATTTTGGAATGCAGTAGGAGGAGGGCTGCCCAGGGTGGCTGGCAGGCAGGTGAGGCTGATGGCCAGGGGCCATCTGGGCAGAGGTCAGAGCAGGTGCACAGGCCCAGGTGAGACATCCTGGGTGCTGGGGGAACCACAGAGACCAGTGTAACTGGTGCACAGAAGAGGCTGCGGGAACAGGTCAGGGAGGTCACAAGAGGCTGCAGGCTTTGAGCCTGCTTGGATACTGGAACAACTGGTCCAGCTGGAAAGAGAGGAAGCATCTGGGTTTCAGCAGTATGAGAGGTGACAGGAACCAGCCTAGGTTAAGGGATCTGTCTGGCTCCTGCAAGTGAGGATAGGACAAAACTGCACAGGACACAGTGGGGGAGCTCTGCCACCCTTCCAGTGACACGTGCTCCAATTTCTTCAGGGCGGAAGCGGGGAATGGAGTGAGCACTGGTTCACATCTGGGTGCCAAAGGCAAAATCCACACAATGTGCCAGCGCACTGGAAACAGGGTGAGGGAGGTGGAAGGATGAGCAGCCTGAGCAGGTGGAAGGATGCTGTCACCAGGAATTAAATGTGGAGACTCTTAGAGGGGAGCTGGGGCTCAGATCAAGACTTATGTGTTACACATAGCATGAGCAGCCAGGTGGACTGATAAAATCTTCAAATATATCCTCCACTGAATAAACACAGTAGCTCAAAATGTATACAGCATTAGTAAGAGGAAAGTACAGTTATCATTTTTACAGCCATCACACTTCTATAAATACACTTATTTTGGTAGGATTTGGATTACTTCTCTTAAACAAATGTCAAAAAAGGAGGGGAAGCCATTGTTTAAAAACACTGCCAGGTGGATCCAGGAGCTGACGAGTTTCCAGATATCCAGATATCCAATGTGACGTTCCCAGAAGTACACCCAGCTGGAGGACCAGCTGCTGACTCTCACCCCAGCTCGCCCAAGCCACTGTGCACTGCCAGAGGAATGCAAGGGACACCGGCCGCTGTTAGGTGAGTGTCAGGCTGGCTACGGTCACCTGCGGTCACCGATGCTGCTCAAGGAGAAAACTGCAAATGGTGGCATGTTCTGTGTCACCATGCCAGCGGGAGCTATTCCTGAAGACACACTCTGTTGTCCAGAGCGCGTCACCTGTGTTTACCTGTTACAGTGGTGCACAGCAGGACGCAACATAAAAGGCCGGGGGCTGGGTGTAACTCGGTGGGAGAGCCCCTTCCTAGCATGAGCTCCAAGCCTCAGCACTGCAAAGTGACAACAACATCATCAACAACAACAACACATGGTTTTGGTAACCATGGGGATTCAAGCTTGAGAACCTAGAATCTCCTAACTGAATGAACTTGCAAAAACCATACCTATCACATAATTGCAAAAACCTCTCCTTTCTAAAATTAAAAAGCAATAATATACTAATATTCAATAAGAATATAACTCATTTTCCACAATTATGAGGAAAGAATGTATACAAATTATGTTAGAAACAGTTAAAGCACGGTGTAATACACATTACTAATTGTACACATACTAGCAGTACCATTGTGTACATATTATTAATGGCTACACTGTATCTGAAGGCTCAAATATGCACCTTGCCTCATTTTTCTCTTTACATTTATTGTTTAAGTGATTTGATATTCTCGGACCTGGTGTGCCTCTGCCTCTCCTAGAGTATGTGTATGTGTCCAAAGAGATCAGGCACTCTGTCTGTTTTCTAAAGATCATGTCCCTAGAACACTGCTTGGTGTATAAACGAACTCAAATATGCACACACACTTCCTTTTTCCAAATATGCACAGCTATCAAGCAAAAACAGCACAGCTTTTACAAGACTTTAAGGTTTTTGTTTTACTAGAAAATGTGAGACACCCAAAAAATATGAACATAGAATGCACTTATCCTGTAGTAAGTGCTTCTATGTATTTTATGCATTCTAATTTCTAATTGAAAAATACATAAACTGCTGAAAAGGAAAAACTACAAAGATAACGTATTATCTGCCTACAATGAAATAACTATCAGTAACATTATATTCAAATTGCACGTGCTTGAATATACTGGTTTGCATAACATACTGCTTTAAAACATCTTTTTTGATTTGCTATTTGATGGCTATCTTTTCATATCAATAAATGAATTCCTACAGCATGATTCAGTAAAATTGCATTGTATGAACATCTTAAGTCTTGGTAGAAAGAGTTAGGCTTCTTTTGTTTTTCCATAAATATAAAGCACGATCTGATGAACATCTTTGTAGCTATGTGTATTACTAAATAAAAAGAGAATGAATTTCTAGGAGTGGACTTGCTGGCTTAGGGTATGAATACTCTAATTTTTGTTATTTTTCCATTTAAATTTTACTATAAGACAACACCAGTCAGCAGATTGGAATTTGTTGCCTGTGATCTAGGATATGCTAGTAAAACATAAATGGTAATTTATCTATGTAAACTATAAATGTTAATCAAATGTAAATTAATTCATGTGTTCACCATGCCTTTTTCTCTTTCTTCCATCTTGAATAAACAAAATCACGTAAGCTTCTGTAGTAAACTCAGTTTCTGTGAGGAACACAGCAATCCACAACAACTCCTAGACGAGTGGGATGCACGCAGAGGACTCAGTCTGCATAAACCAGGGGACAGCTGTGTCCCAAGAAATTCCCAACGAGACACCACGGCGCTCCTTCTTGCCTTGCTCTCTGTTTATTAAATAACCTCCCTTATCTTATTTAAACCCTCCTTCCTGAAATGGCCCTCTGCAACTCACTCTCCAGAGGAAACCCAGAGACAAATGGAACTCTTCTCAAAACTTTCCCACTGAATTCCACTGAGGTCTTTGAAAAACCGTGTTGTGTAAGTGCAGTAACTCCATGATAAGTACAGTCATTACGCACTGCACACACATACTGGTAACATTAAAAATTTGTTTATGACTGTTCTAGAAATCTCTGGAAATAAGTTGCTGGGGTTTTTTTTTTTTTTTCCTCTTTTTGCGTTCTTTTTTCTTTCTGCAGCAGAAATTTTACCACAAATATTTGAATGCCCACTGCATTCCTTGCTCTTTTCTAAACACTTTTATAAAGTAGCAGTGAATGAGACAGATGAATAAATATCAATTTCACAACATGTCACAAAGCCATGAACACTGCAAAACCAAGCCCAGGAGGGCAACCCGGCAGAGGAGGAAGGGTTTGGACTGTGGTGGTCCCAGTGGCTGCTGTGGGCTCCATGGGGCAGAAAATGTCTGGCCAGAGAATTCTAGGCCAGGCATCTCGAACCCCTCACTTGAGCTTTCTGAGACCAACTCTCTTCTCTCTGCAGCCCATTCATCTGCTTCCCTTCTGAAAAGAAAAGCGGGTTGGAGATATGAGCTCCCCTCAGGTGCAGAACGAATCAGCACCCGAAATCAATCAGTAAAGTGTGCAGTGTATACTGCGTAAGAACCAAAGGAACCACTGCCCCGGAGGCCTGGAGAAACTTCTGAGTCCACGAAGCCTCCTCTCTTGTCTCTCAAGGCTGAACACTATTTTTTTCTAACTGCTTTGCAAATTTGTGTTTAATCCGACTTCCTGCTGTCCAGAGGGTCTGGCACTGAGACGGCGAGAACCCCCGCACCGCCACTGCAGTTACTCTGTGAGGGGCACTTTAAGATCTTCCCTCTCCTCTCCACTTCACACATTCCTTTCTCTCCTCAGTTTTGGAGCTATTTTTTCATCTGCTCTCTGCAAACACAGAGCAAGCTGCATTTGTTGGCATACGGAAGAAATTTAAGAATTGAATATTTAGATTACATGAATAAGTCACATAACTCAGTAGGTCCTAGAAGGTCATGATTCCCACTGCTCACTGTGTCACCCCTCACTTTCACACCTTTTCCTTAAGAGCAAAGCACGCAACATTTAGACAATATACATGCTATGCATAACTGAAGATTTATTTTCTTGATACGCAGTTGTCTTTTAAGCCTGAGTTATCCAAATTTAACCACGTACATTAAGCAAATTCTCTAGGCTCACTCATTCTTTCAAAATTTATATTTTGAGAGGGCTGGGTGTGGCAGCACAGTTTTGGAATTCCAGCACTCCGGAGGATGAGGCAGGAGAACCATTGTGCATTCGCGGCCACCCTGGGCTACACAGTGAGATACTGTCTCAAAAAACAACAACTAAAATTTGTATTTTGTACTTTGTTTAAATCATTGCATTACACAAAGAAATCATGTAATGTCCCCATGACTTAAATTACACTTAGTTTCCATGTGAAGAAACCACAGGTTTCTCTGAGAACTATAATTTGAAATTTTCGTAAAAATGAAGGACTTTAGACACTTTTATCTTTTCTATGCTTTTTTAGATGCCAAAAAACCATA